GATCTGCCTGTTCTGCTTCCCGCTCTGTCCCTGGTGAATCCTCTCACCCTCCGCATCTCTGGCCTGTACCCCAGTTCTGTATGAATAAATAAATAAATCTTTAAAAAAAAAAATGGACATACTTCCAGGTTCAGTATCAGGTTGTCCTTTACTTTTTGGTTCTGACCAATCCCACAGCCAGTGAAACCATCCTTTGTTATCCTCTAGATCTTCTGTTCCTTCTATGTAAATCTTGTGTCCAGCTTTCTTTACCTGAAATGAGTAAATTTTCAATCTAAAAAAACAGAAGCATATTTCCAAAACTTATTTAATTGAGTGAAAAAATATACCCAATAAGCACATTGACAATAGTACACAGTAACTTCATCATTAGCCAACATAAAAATTTAGGATTTCAACGTAGTTAGCACCAATAGTTCAGGAGATAATTAAAAATATAACTAGTCTTTCCTCTTTATATAAACTCTTAGTAGTGGGTCATTAGCCTAAATTTAGAATTTTTTTCACATGAAACCTGTTTAATTTAAATGGATATGGCAAAAGACTGTCTGATTTTCTTATAAAACAAAATAAATCTGAGCTCCATTGATAGCAAATAGATTATAACTGCATAATGCTAATCACAGCACAGCATCTGTCAAACGCATAGGAGTGGAGACATATTTTTACTAATTTAAAGGTATTTTGGAATTACCTCAACTTCTGCTTGTTGTCTTGCTATAGTTATATTAAATACATCCAGGGATTTTTCCAACTCCTAAAAAATATAAATGAAAATTAACATTACATAAATAACAACTTGAATATATAATCTCTCAAATGCTGCACTAAAGATAAGGAAACAGAAAGTAGAACACTCCATCAATGCCTATTAAATTCTGAAAAACAATATTTGTACACAAGTGAGCTAGGAAATGTGCACCCAGTAATGACGAAGTAACTTTTTAAAGAAATCAAACATGACATGCATGAGTTATAAATCTGTCATACACACACACACACACACACGATACCAAACATACAGTGTATGAAATGATTTATTTGGGTTATAATTACAGATAAACATACTAGTGACACTTAAACTAAAATATTAATTCTTCATGTTATGTGTACTGATCATATGTTACCATTAAGATATTCCAATCTAGATCTAGATAAACTTAAAATCCACTTTTAAATTTCATACTATTCAAAGTAAGCTTGGTTCTTGAAATAAACTAAATCTTCCATCTTATCTATACACTATTTCCATGACTACTTTTGAGATGTCTATGCTCAAATCACCATTTCCCCCAAAAGAGAAGCAACCATAACTGACTATTATTTAGAAAACAACTTAACGCAGGATTGTACTGTAGGCTGACTGGGAGGACTTGGTAACGATCTAAAACCAAGTAAACAATCTGTCACCATTCTAAAAGACCACTCAATGCAAACTTCATAGTAGCCTAGGTCTTCTGAAATGTCTCTTATCACAAAGATAAAAATAAAACTCAACCATTAGAGGGGGCTCCTAATAGGAAATTACCCTGGACATTGAGCAGTTACTACAAAGTTAGTTTATTTCCCTTTTTGTCCCTAAGCTATGCCTTAATCCATTCGTAAAACATTACCCGCTGGAGTATACCATAATGCTAAAAGATAAATGTAGTCTTTATAGAATTTTAGGACACACAAGTAAAAATAAAGTTACTAGTAAAAACTAGGTATGTGAGGAGAGTTAAGAGAAAAGGATCTCTGTATGGACAGAAAAGTTTATATAAGATGGAACTTAAGATGAACTTGGGGCATTAGTAAAATGGGCTAGGCAGAATTGAGGAAAGGTAGATGCAGGGCATGTGCAGTCTTGGCTATCAGCACAAGAATCATACAGACAGAAGACAGGATTATTACTAATGAACACCTAGGTGTTGACACAGGGGAAAGACAGTGGTAACGAAATCTAACAGTTTGAAACTAACACAAAGAAGACTGAAACCAATGTATCAAGTATATTTCAGGCCTTGGAATCTAATAATCTCCTAACATGAAGCTCCAAATTTCTCCAGTTTGAGAACAATTTCGAATTCCAAAAGTTCACATGTGAGCATCACCAGAACACTGACTATCCAACTGAAGTTAAGAACAGGAATACAGAAACAGTCTGACTCAAAAAACCAGTCAAACAAAATTAAAACAAGTAAGTAGGAACTGATGGTCACTAGAGACTAAAGAGTTATCTAGTACAAAATACCAGTTTTTAAAAATGCTAACCTCAAAAGCAAGGAGAAGTTCAATAGATAGCTTCTTAGTTGTTAGTTTTTGTTTGTACAGTTCTTTGTATTGCTTCATTTTTTGCCTATGAGCTTTAATATGCTTCCATGACCACATTCGTAAACGGGGGGCAACATTTACTTCAAGGATACCTTGTATAGCATAGGCCCACCTAGTTAAAAAACAAAAACATACTTAGCAGTTTTAAACCAACAGTATTACATGATATTGCTTCTATTCTAAAAATACAAATTAGCTGTAATAGACTACTAAAAGGTATCGTATCTGATCATTTGCTTGTTCACAGTACTATCTATATTAATGATACAGTATTATTTTATCTTTAAGAGAAAATAGATTAAAATCATTGATTTTTGCATAAACATGGCTCAATAGAAAAACTGAGTGTTAATTACCAAATAGCACTTTAGCCTCCTGCACAGTCAAAGAGTTCTAGAGATTAGACAAGAGCTTAGAAACTAGAATACAAAACTTTTTAATATACAAAAAGGTTATAGTTTTTAGACACCGTAACATTTTGAGGTTTCAACGTGTCCAATATGGAAGTTTGGGGAAAAAAAATTTTTTTTAAAGATTTATTTATGCATGCAGAACTAGGGTACAGGCTAGAGGCACAGGGGTGGTGAGAGGATTCACCAGAGACAGAGTGGGAAGCAGAACAGGCTGACTAATGAAAAAAACTGCCAAGGGGAGCAGTGGGCAGGTCAGGAGAGGTCTGCCGCGCCATGTGGTTCACCTTCAGGGTAGGCAGGGATCAAACTCATACAGAAGTGGCTTAAGCTTCTTAGTGCTGTGCTTTAACCTGCTGCGCCACCAGGGAGGGCCAGAAGTTTGAAAATTTTGGTTTGAAAATTTTGAAGAACATAGCATAGCTGGACAACAGTGATATACTTTTTAAGATTTATTTATTTATGCATACAGAACTGAGGTACAGGCTAGAGGTGCCAGGACGGTGAAAGGATTCACAAGAGACAGAGTGGGGAGCAGCACAGGCTGACTAACAAAGTACGCTGCTGAGGGGAGCAGTGGGCGGGTCAGGAGAGGTCTGCCACGCCATGTGGATCACCTCTAGGGCAGGGATCGAACACATGCTGAAGTGGCTTTAGCTTATGAGTGCTGTGCTTTAACCCACTGCGCCACCAGGGAGTACCCAGTGATAAACTTTTTAAGTAATTCCAAAAATACAGTAAAATTGATGGCATTCCAGTATTTTTAGTTGTTAATTCCAGTACAAAGAATCCCATAAGTCAGTTAACATAAGTGTGAGTGCAATATAACCTTCTAACCACAAATCAAACTGTATTTGTAGCAATCCTTAAAAAGAGTATCTTAAAAAATTACTCAAGTCAAGAAATTTGTTTTTGTGCATCATTTTTTAAATCTGAAAAAAAAAAAAAAAAAACCAACACTTTACCATTCTCTGGCATTGTAGTGAACAGGTACATCAGGCCTGTATTTCCTATATGGCAAATTTTGTGTCATCATATCAATTGATTCAAGAAGCTCCATAACACTGAAATACTGAAGAATAAGAAACTGTTTTAATTTTTTGTCAATTGTTGAAGATATAAGCTAAGTTATTAACATTTTAAAGAGCTATTATCATGTGACATTGTGAAATTTTGATGAATATTTAAAATCGTAGTTCTGCTTTTATCAAACTAAACTCACGTTTAAATTTTCTATGGAAATCTTACCTGTTGTTTATTAAATTGAATTGCTATGTCATGTAACTCAACTTCCAGGTTTATCTTGGGAGCAGAAAAGTCAAAATCTGATCGGCGATTCATCTGAAGTTTGGCATTAGCAGATATGGGGTAAAATACTGAAAAATACAAATTTTAAAATACTGAATACATTCCAAGAATCTCAAAGTACTGAATAAATCAAATTTAAAATGCTGATTTTCATTTCCTGAAAATTCTTTCAATAGCTCCTCTATTTCCACAATGCTATAATTTGGTCAAATGCACTATCAATTCATTAATGGAGGAAATTCTTCAGTGTTCCATAAGAAAAAAAGAGACTAAGTACCATCAAAACATCAATATAATCCTGAAAAGTCAGTACACTAAAAACAAAAAGTCCAGACTAGCACCAGCAGAATCCTCATTCCACCCACCCCCACCCCCAACCTACCAAGGCAGACACAGATGGTAGCAGGAAGCAGATTCCAGGGAGCAAAACAGGAAGTGGAGCCAGCACCAGTGATGGCTCCCAAAGGCAGACACCTCAAATGCAAGTTATGGGGGGGGGGGGAGAACCACTATAAGCAGCAACAGGAGTCCTCAGAGGACTATTACACCACAAAAAGGATAAATCCCCAGAACCCAGTCACAAAAATGTAGAACATCTATTATCAGATGCAAGAGTTCAAAATTTCTGTGATAAAGAAATGAATGCACTGAGAAATAAAAACAGAAGACTGACACAACCTATAAATAAGAAAATAATAGACACACTTGACATAAAAAAATAAATACAACAGATTAAAAACTTCTGGAGAAAGTTATGGAATTGGATAGGCTAAATGGAATCAATCGGTAATCCTATAGAGGTTATGCACAAAGAATGGATAGAACAGAAGTAAAAAAGAAAAAAAAGAATACTTTGAGAATAAACCAATTGCATTAGGAAAAGCAATGGAATCCAAGAGGGGTAAGAGACAAAAGGAACAGAATATGAATTTAAAGAAATAATACAGAAAAAGTTCCAAACCTAGAGAAGCAATTAAACATACAAGTTCAGGAAGCTAAAAGAACAGGGTACCTAAGCAAATGGACCTTCATACAGACATACAGCCATGAAAATTATGAATTTCAGACAAAAGACTAATATTGAAGTTGGCAAAGAAGAAACAGCACATAAAGGAACTCCTACCAGATTTACATCAGACTTCTCTGAGGAAACACTATGGACAAGCTGACAATGGAATATGATCAGAAAACTTAAGGTAAAATCTGCCAGCAAAGATTGTATCTTGCAAGGCATTCTACTTCAGATATGAGGAAAAAATTAAAGCATTCTCAGACAAATAGAAACTGAGAGTTTGCAAATACTAGGCCTTGCCCTAAGAAATAGTGAATGGAATTCTTGTATATAAGGCAAATTAACTTCAAAGAAACTAGAAGCAGCACAAAATTAAGAACAAAATAGCAGTAATAGGCTTTCATGTATAAATAATTATCAATGGACTGAACTCAAAAATCAGGTTTGGTATGAAAATAATACAACTTTCTGCTGTACCCAGAAAATGCACCTGCGCTCTGAAGGTAAACACAAGCTCATAAAAAGACTCAAGAGTACAGGGATGAGAAATCCTACAAGCAAACAGGACCCAAAGGAACGCAAGGACAGCCATACTTACATAAAATAGATGTCCAACTTAAAAAAGGTAACAAGAGACAAGAATAGACAATTATGTAATAATTAAGTAATATTGAGGAAATAATTCACCAAGAAGACATAACTCTCAAGGCTATATACTCACCAAAGTAGCATCAAAATATACTAGGCAATTATTTGCAACTCCAAAAACACATGTTGAAAAAAACACACTTATAGTAAGATTTCAACACTTCACTCTCACCAATGGACAGAAAATAAACAGTGACACAATGGTCTTAAATAAAGACTTAGACAATATGGAACTAACAGACATTTATAGGACACCGCAGAAAAACTGAATATACATTCTTCTCATGTAGACACAACATTCTCCAGTATTGGCCATATTTTGGGTCACAAAATGCCTATCAATAAATTCATAAAGACTAAAATCGTACTAGACATCTTCTCTGACTTTCAGGTATCAAACCACACATGAACTACAAAAAGAAAGCAAGGAATTCCATTTTGTGTAAACTCAACACCACACTACTATGAGGAGGAAATCAAAGCAAAAAAATTTAAAATACCTGGAAACAGACCCTCCCTGGTGGTGCAGCAGGTTAAAGCACAGCACTAAAAAGCTAAAGCGACTCCTCATGGGTTTGATCCCTGCCTGCCCCAGAGGTGATCCACATGGTGGGCAGGCCTCTTGTGACCCGCCCGCTGCTCCCCTCAGCAGTGTACTTCGTTGATCTGCCTGTTCTGCTTCCCATTCTGTCTCTGGCGATCGTCTCACTGCCCCTGCGCCTCTGGGCTGTACCCAATTCTGTATGCATAAATAAATCTTTAAAAAAAAAAATGTGGAGATAAGCTAGGTCACAACCTTCCAGAACTTACAGGGCAGCAAAAAGAATACTAAAAGGCAAGTATAGATAACAGTAGTATAGGTCCACTAAGAAAAAATAAATAAATAAAAATCATAAACTAAGAAAAATACCTAGTAAATTACTCTGTCTCTCATCTTGGGGAACTAGAAAAATAACACAACCAAAAACCAGTAGAAGGAAGAAATAAAAATTAGAGCATAAATAAATGAAATAGAAATAGAAAAAAGACAACCCAAAAGATCAATGACACAAAAATCTGGTTCACTGAAAAAGCAAAACCAAACAGACAAAATGCTCACAAAGAAAATAAGGGCCAAAATTCTAATAAACAGAGTTAGAAACAAAGTAAGCGGACCCCCCTTTCGCCACAAGGGGTTAAAGTGCACACTGAGAAGCTATCTGTAGCCACTGCAGTGCCATCTCTCTTGTCTTGCCCACTACTCCCCTCAGCAATATATTTCAGTCAATACGCCTTTTCTATTCCCTACTGTTTCTGGTGAATCCTCTCACCACCTGCACCTCCAGTCCAGTTCTTGTATGTATAAATAAATAAATCTTAAAAAAAAATAAAGAGAAAGAAAAGTTGTAACACAATGCAAAAGATCTTAATTATCTTAATCAGAACATAGTCTACTATAAACATTTATATGCTCAATAACCTAGGAGAGATGGACAAATTGTTAGAATTATACAATCTTCCAAGACTGAGTAGGCGAAAAATAGAGAACCTGACCAAACCCTAATCACAAGCAAGTTAAGTGCAACAGTTGTTAAAAAACTCTCCTCCTAAACAAAAGTACAGGACTAGACAGCTTCAAAATGATTTTTGCCAAACCTTCTAAGATAAACTAATACCTATCCTCCCCCAGCTCTTCCAAAAAATTGGGCAAGATGGAATACTCTCAAAGATATTTCATGCGATCAGCATTATTCAAACATCAAAACTAAAGACAACACTACAAAAGAAAACAACAAATGTCCCTGATGAACAGAGATGCAAGATCCTGAATAAAATCTTGGCAAACCAAATCCAACAATACATATCATGATTGAATGGACATAAGGATGGCTGAACATGGACATAAGGATGGCTGAACATCCCAAAACTCAATGTAATTCACACCACATCAACAAAAATAAAGATATGAAACACATATGAACAGATCAATAAATGCTAAGAAAGCATCTGATGAGATTCAATATCTACTTATGTTGAAAAATGGGGATGTCATTTAACATAATAAAACCCATACTTCAAAAATTCACAGCTAACATCATTCTCAAGTGAGAAAATGGATAGCTTTTCCACTAAAGATGTGGTCCAAGACAAGATAGCACACTCTCAGCACTACTGTTCAATACAGTATTAGAAGCTCTAGGCAGAGAGCAATTAGGCAATAGAAGGTTAACGAAGGAATTCAAATCAGGAAAAAAGAATGAAAATTATCATTACTTGATGACAATATGCTATGCTAAGAGCCCTAAGAATTCCACTGAAAAGCTAATTGAAACAATACATAAGTTCAATAAATTAACAGGTTATAAAATTAATACATATAAATAAGCTACCTTCATATATTATATTGTAAGATAGAAGAGGAAGAAATTAAGGAAACAACCCCATTTAAAATCACACTAAAAAATCTAAATACCTAGCAGAAAAGAAAAGTGGTGAAAGTCCTACAAGAAAAGACAATATTTTTAAAAGAAAAAAAAAAAAAGAAATGCAAAAGTCAGTATTGTCAAATGTGTTACCCAAATCAATGTACAGATCAAATGCAACCCCCTCAAAATTTTAAGGGCATTATTCAAAGAAATAAAACTACTGAAATTCATATGGAACTACAAAACCCCATACAGAACCAAAGAAATTCTGACAAAAAAAGACCAGTGGTGGTATCATACTTCTAGATTCCAAACTATACTATAAAGGTGTAATAACTAAAACACCATTGTATTGAAGCAAAACAGACACACAGCCCAAAAAGGTAAAGTACAATACTATGAAGCTGTCCACAGCCACTGCAACACGATTTAGATCCCCAGCCAGGGAGGTGACCCATCTGGCATGGCAGACCTCTCCTGTCTCACCAGTTGCTCCCCTCAGCAGTGTATTTCAGTGGGTCCATCTTACCTGCTCCCCACTTGCCTCTGGTGAATCCTCTCACAACCCCCCTGCACCTCTGGCCTGTACCCCAGTTCTTATATGCACAAAAATCTTTAAAACTCACACACACAGACCAGTGGAGTATAACTGAGACCCTAAAAATAAATCCACAGCTATACGGACAATTAATCTACAACAGTGGAACTAAGCCCTCGTAATTGTAAGGAAAGTCTCTTTTTTCCTTTCTTTTCCTTCCCCCACCCCACCCTTCTGAGTACCCAATATTTATTCCAGTCTTTTGTTTGTTTACCCTCCACCAAGCCACCCATACCTATATCCCACCTTTCTCCCCTCCACCTGATTCCCTCTGGTAACCAATTATCTTTTTGCTGAGTTCAAATTTTTATTCTATTGTTTGCATCAAATTGTTTTTATATGTTGCACATGAGTGAAACCATCTGAAATCTTTTCTTTTTGACTGGTTGCATTCAACAAAATCACCTTAAATTTCATCCATTTGGACCCAAATGCCAGTGTTTTCTTTTTCTTCACAGCTGTGTAATATTCCATTGAATGTATGCTCCACAGTTTCTCCATTCATCTGTTGCCATGACTTGGCAATTGTAAACAGTGTTGCTATGTACATAGGTGTGGACAGAGCTTTTCATGTTAGATTTTTTTCAGATTATCTGGATAAATATCTAATAACAGTATTGCTGTGGATGAGAGCTCCTTTTTTCATTGCTACCTTGCCAACATTTGTTGATTATGTTCAATTTTATATGGGCCATTCTCACACAGGGTCAGGTGGTATTTTGTGGTTTTGATTTGTATTTCTCTTATAATAACTGATACTGAACTTTTCTTATCTATGTAAGTCATCTAAAATGTCTTCTATAAAGAAATGTCTATTGAGGTCTTTTGCTCACATTTTAAACAAGGTCATTTATTTCTTTGTTGTTGGATTGTGTAATAAGTACTTTGTAAATTTTGGAGATCAACCCCTTGTCAGATGTATGGTATATAGGTATTTTTTCCCATTCTGTTGGCTACCTTTTTGTTTTGAGATTTTTTTTTTTTTTTGAGGTATAAAAGCTTTTAAGTTTGATGTATCTCATTTGCTTGGTTTTGCTTTTGTATTTGTATTTCCAAATACATCATACTGATAGTGTCCTGTAGTATGTCCCCTACATTTTCTTCCATGTACTTTATGGTTTTGGTTCTTAAATCCAAATCTGTAATTCATTATGAATAATTTTTGCATATAATGTGAAATATGGATCATGCTTTATTTTTGTTCATGTGGCAATCCATGTCTCCCATCACCATTTACTCAAAAGACTACTGTCTCCACTGACATTCCTTTGTTGAAAATCAGCTGTCCCAGTGCAACACTATGAAGCTACCTGAAGCCATGCAGCACAGGGAGGTAACCAACATGGCGTGGCAGACCTCTCCTGACCTGCCCGCTGTTCACCTCAGAAGTGTGTTTCAGTAAAATCTGCCTGTTATGCTCCCTACTTTGTCTCTGGTGAATGCTCTCACATACACCCCTGCACCTGTGACCTGTACCCCAGTTCTTGTATGCATAAAATAAACCTTTAAAAAAGAAAATCAGTTGTCCGTATTTATATGGATTGATCTCTAGGCTTTCAATTCTGTTCCATCAGTCTGAGTTTGTTTTTTGTTCCAGTTTTGATTACTGTTGTTGTATAATATTGTTTGAAAACAGGAAATGTGATGCTTCCATTTTTCCTCTTTTCTGTCAGATTGTTTTAGTTATTCAGGATCATTTGTGGTCCCATATAAATTTGATGAATGTTTTATTTCCTTAAAAAAAAAAAGGCACTGGTATTTTGATAGGAATAGCATTAAACCTATAAATTGCTTCCAGTAACATGGTAATTTTAATGTTATTTCTTCTACTGATGAGCATGGGATCTTTCCATTTTTTTCCTGTTCTTTTATTTAATAGTTTTTAATTGCCATTGTATAGTTCCCTCAGCGACTTCTTTAAGTTTATTCAGGAAATTGTGTTCAACAAATGGAGTTAGGAAAAGTGGAACTGCCACATGCAAAAGGATGAAACAAGAACTCAAAATTGATAAGTCTTGGATGTGAGATCTGTAACCATAAAAAATATAGAAGAAAATATAGCCAAAAATAACATAATATAAGCTTTCAGGGGTGTCTTCACAGATAGGTATCCACAAGCAAAGGAAACAAGAGGTTATTAACAACTGGGACAGCATGGAACAAAAAGTTTCTGTACAGTTAAAGAAGTCATAACTAAAACAAAAACACCCTACTGAATGGGATAAAATACTTGCATACCATATATCTGACAAGAGGATGATTAGCAAGGGTCTACAAATAATTCATACAAGTCAACAACAAAAACCAAAGAACCTAAAGTCAAAAAAATATGGACAGAAGAGCTAGACACTTCTCCAAAAATACACACAGATGACCAACAATAAACATGAAATATACTTGTCATCACTTAAATGTAAGGGAAATTCAAATCAAAATCACAATGATAAACTATATTACACCTCTGAGAAAAAAAGTCTATTATCTGAAATAAGCATTGATGAGAATGTGGAGGGGAAAAAACAGAACACTCTTATGTTGTTGGTGAGGACATTGAATGGAAAGGACCACTATTTATGGAAAACAGGAAGGAGACTTTGAAAGATTAAGAAATTGGTATGCCTTATGTCCCAGCAATTTTTCTCCAAGGTATCTACCTGAAGAATACACAAACAGTAATTCAAGGAAAACTTACACCACCATGTTCATGGTAGAACTATTTACAATAGCCAAACTATGGAAACAAACCCAAGTACCCAAAAACAGTACTTGGGTACATCAAGTAGATGTGTGTCTGTGTGTGTGTACTGGAATACTAACTGGTAATGAAAAAGATAAACACACGCCAAGTGCTGCAACACAGTCAGAAGGAGAGGTAAATTCCAGACAGTAGCACATATGTATGGAATATAGAGAAACCAAAAGAAGGGTCAGGAAAGTATAATACCAATATTTGAAAAATTAAATTATTCCTCTTCCAACAGTAATTAAGTAAATACAAGCCAATTGTAACTGTAATCATCTATCAATTCCTGAAGTCTAACATCTTCTCTCAGATATTAGCCCCTAAATGTAAGCAATTTCACCATCTTTCCAAAAGCACAGCCTCTCAGCTCCTGAATTCCTCCATCTTACTTATCTCCTGGGCTAGAATAGCAAATCAATGTCAGACCCTCATTAAACTTAGTATCAAGCATCCAATTCTTATATGACTACTCTAATATTCCAATACCAACTGTTAAGTACCATGAGGCCCACCAATCATTAATTTTCTAACGTTGCTCTTTTACTTCTGTTTCTTGTCCTCAATTCCCTCCTTACCCTGCTGAAATGCCATGACTAGTAATTTTAATCATTCCCTTAAGAGTCACCGTTAACTCCTTTGTCATCCTTATTTTGTCAGTATTCAGCTGGACAAAGTTGTAACGATTTTTACATTTTTAAAGAATTTGAAACAAAAGACTGTATGATAGACCTTACAGAGTATATATCATACAAAATGTAAAATACTATGTAAGATACTATGTAGCCCTTTACACACAGTAATAACTCTCAAATATTAGTGTTCATCAGAATCATCAGGAAGTCCTGTTAAAACAGGGCCCTCCCTGGTGGCGCAGCAGGTTAAAGTGCAGCCTTGCAAGTGAGCCACAGCCACTTCAGTGCAAGTTCAATCCCCACCCCAGGGGTGACTCACATGGTGTGGCAGACCTCTTCTGTCTCACCTGCTGCTCCCCTCAGCAGTGTACCTCATACATCTGTCTGTTCTGCTTGTTCTCCACTCTGTCTCTGGTGAACCCTCTCACCACCCTTGCATCTCTGGCCTGTACCCCAGTTCTGTATGCATAAATAAGTAAATCTTTTTTTAAAATGAAAAAAAAACAAAACCCATACTGTTGAGCCTCACTCTCAAATGTTGATTCAGCACCCTAGAATTTGTGTTTCTACCAAGTTTCCAAGTAGTAGTGATGCTGCTGGTCTGAACCATACTTTTGAGAATATTCCTCTAAGTTAATTCTTTTTTCTCATTCCCTAAATGACTTTATGATAGTTTCTGCTCCCTCAAAAACACCTCAGCTATAGTTAAAAAAAAATCAGAAATTTTCATGAACTTCTATCACCATATATTTCTCTCAACTAATGTTAGCCCAATATTAGCACTCTCCTAAAAGAAATATGGATTGTAAATGAATGGACCAGAATACATCAAGAATACAATTAATTACATAAGATCAAATTAGCAAAATGTTGCAATGGCAACATCAACAATATTAATTTAAAATCTGTAGTCATTATTTTAATTACACTTTTTAGTCTATGAGACGTACTTACCAAAATCATACCCTTCTGGAACAATGTCTTTATTGACAATACCATTCTTCAAGCTGTCCTATTAAAAGACAAATTGATTTCATTTACATTCATACTAGTATTCCTTTATCCACACAGCCCTATTATATCAAATTATTTAAAAAGCAATTTGGAAAGACAACCAGGAGGAAATATTTGTGGAAAATTCTGAAGTCCTAGACAATATATCATTAAGCTATTAGTATAAAAACAGTCTAGGAACTATTAAGATTTATATAAACATATATATATGTGTGTGTGTATATATATATATAAACATGCTTGCATACGACCACAAATTTATTCATCTATTTCTGTAAAATTTGCTGAAGAAGCTGAGTAGGAAAAAAGACCCGACTACAGTTTGCTAGAAAACTGAAAAACAAAATCCTATGTGAAATATACCAATAAATGTCGATATATACACATCAAAAAATTCACTTACCAATGACTCTTCATAATTATCAAGATAGAACATCTGCGATTTCACATTCCAATAGGCAAAAAGGTTATCCAATCGAATTAACTGAAAATATATCAAGCTTATTATGGTTTCATTTTCAATGAAGGATCTTTAACATTTAAATTTTCAGATGTTTTAAATAACTGAGTCATTTAAGTTAAGCAAATAAAAAAAATCACCAAAACCTTTATTTTTGTTGAACTTTCAACTGAGTTAAATATACCAACCACCCACATGGTAGAAAATCTGCATATAATTTTTGACTCTGAAAACTTCACTACTAACAGCCTGCTGTTAACCAAAATCCCTAACAACGTAGTCAATTATTTCATATTTTGCATATTATATGTATTGCACACTACAGTCTTACAGTTAGTAGGCTAAAGAAAATGGTATTAAGAAATCACAAGAAAAAATACATTTAACATATTAATTCACACAAGTTTTTGTAAGTGGACTTATGGTAGTTCAAATCTATGTTGTTTGCAGGGAAACTGTATTAACATTTGCCTTTCTTAAAGTTGGTCACATCCGTAAGTAAATACATTTTACCTTATGAAATAATTTCTCAGTGTCATCATGTAAAGATGGAACCCAGTATGGGTCAGTTGTCTGAAAAAGGGGAAAGCAGTAAAAATGTCATATAAATGTGAAATGGCAGAGTCATAAATTATATATGTCTCATGCTCTAGATAAATTCCCATGAAAATATCCTTCAAAGAATATTAACTGATCACAAGAAAGACTGCTCTCAAGGAGCTTACTGAAAAAGGAAATAAAAGCAACTATAAACAGGTAAATGCCTCCAAAAGGGTTAAACACACAGCTGTCTGGGAAAACATGGCAGGAGACTCACACTCTCAGGGTTATGATAAAGTGATGGTTAGCCTTTTATATGATTTATGAATAGAAATTATATATTCTAAGGTCAGCAGGAACAGAAAAATAAGCTATTTTAAGAGAGGACTAGGATGATTTTTTAGAGAGATGGCTTTTTTTTTTTTTAAAGCGAACTGAATGAGTTTTAGTATGTATTAGGATCACCTGGAGGGATTTAAAACATACAGATCCCAACCTGATTAAGTCTGGGTTGAGGGACAAAATTCCATGAACCTCCAAAGGTAATGGTCAAAACCTCCTTTTTACCAATGATCTTCAAACATACAAATCCAATAGCTAGTTCTCCATCCTTATTGTCTGACCTAACAGCAGCATCTGACCACTTACCACACCAACTTTATCAAGTAACTTTTCATTTTGTCTTTTTTTCCTTTTATTTTTTGGCTCACAGTGAATCCAAGTTTTAAAAAGATATAGATGGAAACCAAATAGATAAATAAAAGTAGGTAATGAAATACTATACGGCAATTAAATGGAATCACATTACATGTAAAAACAGACAAATGTCAAATACACAAAAGAGAAAACTTATAAAAGAACTATGCAAAAAGTATACATTTTTAATGGGTTATTATGTAAGTATAAAAGTTTGGGATGTTTACCTCTGGACTAGAAAGGAAGAATTAATGGGGAACAAAAGGGACTTAAATTTTATCCACAGCAGTTCATTCAGAAAGTTTTTAGAAGTTAATCTGATTAATTAATTCAATTGCTCAATTTGAATATAGAAAATGGTATCCTCTATGTGTCACTCTACTTGTAAAATTCTTCAAAAAAATATGCCTGGCTAGTAATTATAGTGTAGAAATTGATTTTTAAAATACTTTTCATTATTCAAATTTCTGGTATGAGCATTACTTTAGAAATATATTAAAGTTTTATTAAAAAACACTGAATATAATTAGCAAGCAATGATATGTCTTTACGTATTTTTTAAAAGATTTACTTATGCATTCAAGAACTACGGTACAGGTCAGAGATGCCAAGGGTAAAAGGATTCACCAGAGACAGAGTGGGGGACAGAACAGGTGGATCTACTGAAATACACTGCTGAGCAGAGCAGCAGAAGTGACAAGAGAGGTCTGCTGTTTCACAAGGGTCAGCTCCCTCACCAGGGGTCAAATTCAAGCAGCAGTAGCTGAGGATAGCTTCAGAGTGCTGCACTTTAACCCTTGCATCACCAGGGAGGTTCCGGTCTTTATATATTAAATTTTATTATCAACCATTTTTGAAATGTAAAACTCCCTTCAATTTCAATCCAGTCTATGCACTTTCTGTATCAATTCTACAGACACCTAGTTCGCGAAGCTGGCATACACAAATAGTAAATAGCAGTGTGATTAACTATGCTGCATAGTTAAATATAGTTAAACATCTTTTTCAACAAAGTACCTGAAGGCTAAGATTTTGAAGGGAAATACCAAATGACAATGGGTTATCCCGGTTTGTAATCTAAGGAGGAAAAAAAAAATTTTAAGTACTTGGACATAACTCATTATATAGAAAATTTCATTTTCCAGAGAGTATGCTATTTCCAACATTCAAAAGCATTCTACCACTTTCTGAAACCAATTTTACTCCTACATTATTTCTAATATGAATTAAAATGTTAAATATAAATCTGTATGTGTTGTACAGTACTACATAATACTCTATCTCCTTGTTTTCCAATTTTAAAAAGTTTATTAAAAAAGTAATAGACCCTCATAATAATATAAAGGTAATAATTATGTGTTTTAGAAAATGAATGATATACTTTAAGTCTAATAATTAGTTAAGTCAAGTTCCACTGATTCTTGGAACAGTGCTCTCTCCAGAGTTAATATAACTTAAATACTTAATACTTATTTTTAAAATAACTAATTACCAAATTTATAACGTCCACCAATCAAAAGTGATTATAAGAAAGGCATATTCCTATATTAATTAATTTTGAATATCTGAGGAAAGTGTAACCAAAACATTAAAAACTATAAATTTCAACTATAATTATAGAAAAGAAAAAGCACATGATATTAAGCTTTGTAGCCCTTCAAATCCCAATACCTCACAGGTTGGCTGCTAAAGAACAGATATCAACAAACAGCAGAGTGTGTGTGTGTGTGTGTATGTGTATATCACCTATTAAAATACTTACATCATCTTCATAACGAACATGGATGTTAGAAATTTTCACTTGAAGATTTTTTATAATTTGAGTAACTAATTTTTCTGTAAAAGTGTCCTGTTTCTCCTCCTGCTGTTTATCTACAATTACAAAATTCCTTTTTTTAAATTGAATAAAAAATACATTCTATAAATATTCACATATTAAGGTAAAATAATGTTACCATGTTAAAGAAAAAAAAATCTATACTTATATAAATAGAACATTTTCCTGCCTTACAAAACTGTTTTCCATACCAAAAAAAATTCAAGGCACATAGTTTTAAGAAATTATCAATGGTTTCTTATTCAATGAAATGATGGCAAACCATTTAGAATTTATTGCATTGTATCTTATGTTTGTTAAAAATACCTGAGCACACTAAGATAGGAAACAGTAAGGATTATTAGGTAAGAATTATAATGGGCCCAACTTCAAAAAGTCAGATACAGCAGCAAAAAGGAACCTTCCTTAAAATTAATTATATTGTCATAAATTATTTGTGTAGTATAAAATATGAATATGCCCGTTTCTAATGAATACAAAATAGGAAGATAAAAGATCCTTTTCCAGCTCCCCTTCCAAGCAAAGATCAAAGTTCATCATTTATTTCATTTTCTGAAAATGATATTCACTATTTTTGGTTTCACGATTTCTAGTGAAACAAAAAAACAAGAAGAAAAACTGGAGTTCCTAACTCCTTTTTCAATATGCCTTTGATATCCACTTTTTATTATTCCCTTTCCCCCAACATGAAAATGCTTTCAATAAAAGTATCTCCCCTTCACTATTTCTAGTCCTGTTCCATTAGTGCATACACAGCCATCTATTTTTCCTCTAATCATCTACTACTCATTAATTAAGTTTACCCAGAGGACCTCAGAAGAAGGAAAGTTGATATCATCATAGATAGATAAATTCAAGTTTGAGTGAACAAAGTAAATGTATTTGAGTATCAAAGGATTTTAGAGTAAGTAGCAGAATACAAGCTCTTTGAATATCTTTTGAATCTTAATTTTTGAATCTCACCAGTGTATTAAAAAAATTCTTTACAAATTTATCCAGCCAGTTAAATATCAAAGCTTTCTTTTCCTATCTACTTGCACTTTCTCCTCACTTCCTTATCCAGTTCAGATTCCAGAAAACATTTTACCAACTTATTAAACAGGTTTGTTCCCTTTTTCTCATTTTCTTGTTAGTAAAGCTCCAAACCCAAATAAAAACAAATGCCTACTTTTTATATAAGCATGAACTTTGCCTATGCTTCAATAGTAAGTACTGAGGTAGAAATATCACAATAGGAAACATTAAGATTACTGTAAATTAACCCACTCCAACCAACCAGCAACCTTACTACATTTTTCAGGTTATACTCATTGTTCATACTCTCAAGAAATTCAAAGTTCTTTGGGTTCGCCTCAAAGCTCCAACAAACCTTCCACTGCCCTCTTGAGGAGATGACCTTTCTGTTAACCAAGGAAGAAACAGAAGCTACCAGAAAGTTAACTGATTCTCTGCAATCATCACTTACTCAGAACAACTCAATCTCAAGTAGTCACACTAAAATACCCTGTGCCCATAGGAACATACCTTCAAATGTCCATCTACCTGTCCAAGCACTCTTTTTTGATGATCTTGTTCTATTTTCCTCTTCTATACAATCATTAAATATTGAATTTTCTTAGGGCTTAGTCTGAAAATTGTTTCTCCCTTCCTTCTATGATGCTATTTCAGGGAATATAATCAAAACCAAATAACCTGAACTATCATCTTAATGCTGACCACTCTCAAATGTATAATGGATGAAGTAGAAAGTAAGATAAAAACTTGGTACATTCAGTAAATTACAAATAGGTCAGTGTGATTGAAGCAAAAAAAAAGGAGGTAAGAAAGGGATAGGGCCAGTAATAATAAGGAAGAAGCCACAGAAATCAAATCATAAAACCTTTTATGTATCATGTTGAACAGTTTAAATCTGGTAGCAATAATCTACATAACAATGAATTGTCTGCATGGTTTACACACTTATATTTTAGACCTGAATATAAACATTAGAGACTTTCTCAAAGAAAGCCCATAAATGCAAAAATAAAGGAGAAAATGGATAAATTCCTAATGCCAAAAGAAAGATAAGAGTAGGAAAAAATAATATTCAAAAATTTACAACCTGGAAAGCAGATGGTATTAGCTCTGAATTAACAGAGTGGAAGGAAGAACTCAACTGCCCATAGATTAAGTTATCAATAAAATAGTCAAAAAAGAAAGAAACCATTACCTTACAAGTCCTCAAAAAACATAAGTGACAAAGAGGAAAGATGGTGGAGGGAGAGAATGGTAATATAAGGATTGACTTAAAATCTGTATAATGTACAGTTTAAATTTCCAGGTACTCTTACTGGCCACATAGCCAAGCAACTATCCTGCCCCTCCTTAGTGACAAGCAAGGATTCTAGAGAAAATATACCTGAGATGCTGCAAACTCTGAAGCTATGTACATAAAGATATCAGGAGATCCACCATACTCAAATCAGACAAATTAAGTTCAAGTTCGACACAATAAACAATCATACCCACATTCACCTGTTATTAAGTAAATAAAAAAGTTGTGCCAAGAGCTATATATATTGAGAATATACTATCTGGCTTTGTAAGACAGATAATACCAATTTAATAAAATAATATTGGTATATTGGGAAGATGGAAAAAAGGACTCAATCTTTACACTCTATAAAAATATACATAGATAGATTTATGTATGTATATCATGTGTAAAAGACAAATATTATGATTCTACTTATAAGGTGCTCAGAATAGTCAAGATCATAGAGACACAAAGCACAAATGTGGTTGGTAGGAAATGAGAGGAGGAATGGGCCAGTTACTGTTTAATGGGTATGGAGACTAGTAAGATAGTAAAAATTAAGTTGTATACATGACATAATAAAAAAATGTTTTCTAAGGGGACTGGAATATAAGGGTAAAGACTGATAGAAAAGAAAAAAAATCACAAGGGGTGTTGGCAAAAATTGTATTATAGCTCCTTCAATTCTTTTATCTGTCAACAGTTAAAAACATCAGTTTCTTTTCTATTTTTATTTTAAAAATAAAAATCAATGTATGAGAATAATGAAGTCAATATGTATGTATTTTTCTTTTAGGATGTTTACCTATTAAATGAAGGACAAAGAAAAACACATAAGTAGGGACACATAAGTAGGTTAGGAACATGATTTTCTGTTTGAAGGTTAAGAGCGTACAGTATAGCATATATGCAAATGTGGAAGATTCACTAAAGGAAGAACTCAAGAGTTTGAGCACAAAAAGTATCTGGTGATGATGACTACAAGCAAGACAAAAAGGACTAGAGCTTCCATTGCGTAAAATGAACCATTTTGCATAGATTTAGTCAGAATGAATGTCAGAGAGTAAATAGAGGAAAATATATATCAATGAATAACATCTCTAAAAGGCTTAAAATTTTGGAGGAATTAAAAAAGGCTAGAAAAGAAAATACACATAATACAATTAATTACTATTGTTAAATACTAATTCATAACTAGTTAAGTACTAAAGTAGTTTGTAAACTAGACATGTTAACTACATTAAGGTATATTTCTATAAATAGGGTAAGCCACATTAAAATCCCCCATGAAATAAAATTCACTCATATTTCTTAATTTTAGTCTCCCCTCCAAAAAATATTCAAATGATGTGTATTTAAATCTTTCCCACTTTTATTACTAATTTACAGTTCTCTTTACCTTGATTAGCTACTTTTCGTTTAGCTTCTTCTATTCTTTTTAGTTCCTGTTGCTTTGCTTCCAATAGCTGTTTTTCTTCTTTTAAAGCATCATATTTGATTACTACAGGAAGCATGAAAAACAATACTCTTAATTACTTCAAATATAAATTCACTCCAAAAACTCTTGAAATAATCTTTAATTCAAAGTCTCCAAAGTACAGCATAAAAATCAATTTCATTTACATTACTAAATAACAAATTTAATACAGAAATATCTCAAAATATTCTCCCAAGTATTTTGAACAAATTAGCAAAAACACAGATGCTTTTCATCTACTAAGAGTAACTTACAGTGTTTAAAATTTGACTTACCGGAAGAAGGCACTATAAGTAAATAAATGTCTTCCAATACAGCTTCAACTGGTTGAGTATAAAGGTTTTTCCATGGAATTTTAAGATTAAGATTACCTACATGGAAAAAATGATTAAAAAAGGATTCACATAACCTACACTTAATGTCAGTCTATCTTCATTGCAGCATTAGAAAACAAAGCAGGGCCCTCCCTGGTGGGGCAGCAGGTTAAAGCACAGCACTAAGAAGCTAAAGCCACTTCAGCATAAGTTCAATCCCTGCCCCGGAGGTGACCCACATGGTGTGGCAGACCTCTCCTGACCCATCTGCTGCTCCCCTCAGCAGTGTACTTGGTCAGTCAGCCTGTTCTGCTCCCCACTCTGTCTCTGGTGAATCCTCTCACTGCCCCTGCACCTCTGGCCTGTACCCCAGTTCTGTATACATCAATAAATAAATCTTTAAAAAAAAAAAAAAAGGGCCCTCCCTGGTGGCGCAGCGGGCTAAAGCACAGCACTGAGAAGCTGGAGCCACTTCCGCATGAGTTCGATTCCCGCCAGCCCCGGAGGTGACCACATGGCGTGGCAGACCTCTCCTCACCCACCCGCTGCTCCCCTCAGCAGTGTACTTGGTCAATCAGCCTGTTCTGCTCCCCACTGTCTCTGGTGAAGCCTCTCACCGCCCCTGAGCCTCTGGCCTGTACCCCAGTTCTGTATGCACAATAAATCTTTTAAAAAAAAAAAAAGTAGCCTCTGCCCTGATGAGTTCAATGACTTCTTTAAAAAGCTATCTTGCAACCAAAAAACAGTAAGCCATTTTGTGATTATTTGAATATTTCTTGTGCTGGTTTCACTGAATAATCTACTTAAGTGATACACTAAATACTTTTAATTTTCTATTTAAGATGGTATGTACCACAGCAGACCAAGACTGTTTTCCTATTAATCAACTGTCCCTGATATAAGTTTTAATTTGCCCAATTCTTACTATAAATCTCAGATGCTTCTTACATTTTTTTTTTTAAAGATTTATTTATTTGTGCATACAGAACTGGCGTACAGGCCAGAGGCTCAAGGGCGGCGAGAGGCTTCACCAGAGACAGAGTAGGGAACAGAACAGGCAGATCGACGAAGTACACTGCTGAGGGGAACAGCGGGCAGGCCAGGTGAGGTCTGCCACGCCATGTGGTCACCTCCGGGGCAGGCGGGAATCGAACTCATGCGGAAGCGGCTTTAGATTCTCAGTGCTGTGCTTTAACCCGCTGCGCCACCAGGGAGGGCCTGCTTCTTACATTTTAAAAGTAGATTATATGCTTTATAAAAGTATGTTTACTCCACACATAAAATATATATAGTAATATATAGATACATGAGTATTAGTCTAAAAGTATATGCATTAGACTTATTGAACTGCAAAACACTATGTAAATAGTTTATTGTGCTATTTATTCCAGTTTGGGTACAAAGATATTTTACATAATAAAGAAATTTTAAATATTTAAAGATATTTTGAGGTCTGAATCACTAGACTTTGAAATAGTTGCAATAATTAGTGAGAAGGAAAAGACTATCATTTCCACCATTATTGTATTAATTGTTTAATAATTTAGGAATGGGAAAAAAATTTACACAGATCTACTTCATTAAAGAACACCAAAATTCACATTAAATTTGATGTTAGTCCAAAGAAAAACAAATTACCTGACTTCCAAAAGAAGAAAAACTTTCTAGGTTTTTTTTTTTTAATCAGAAAAAAGAATGACCAATTCCAAATTCTGTACAGTCCACAATACAATCAAGTGGAAATGAGCTTATAGGAAGAAATAACATTCACAGAATTTGATTTGATTTATAAACATATCAAACATACTGCTTAACACACTAAAAATCTTTAAAAGGATAGAGAGCAATGGCAAAATAGCATTAAGTAATCAAAGAAATACACATAAAATTAAGATAGATTTTACTAGTAAATCTATCATTTAAAAATAACTTTTCCTGTTAATTATAAAGTACAAACATCTTGTTGAAAATTCAGAAAACTAAATGGAAGTAGTTTTAGAAAATCTTCCACACAGACAACTGTTTTTAAAAATTATATTTGATATAAGTATATACACACACACACATATAATTCTGTATTCTAAATAAGGAAAACTTTGAAAGAGCAATATAAACAATACTCAATAATAGCAAGGGAACAATATCCTCTTTTAAAATTGGTTGAGGACTATGCCATTCACTTGAAAATGTGTACTTCCTTCACTCAACAATTATTCCCTTATTATGTACAAAGTAAAGTATTGTGCTACATGGTGAGGTTACAGTAAAAATTAAATCCATGTCTTTGTAACAAATTACTATCTAGAAGACAAAAAATTAGTAATGCTAATATTAAAGAATGACAGGTGCTATGGTAAGGAGGCATGCAAACAACACCATAAAAGAGCCTCAAAATTATCTTGTGTTCTAGGTATTTAGTGCAGTGTACTTTCTATTATATTAACAATGAAAATTAGCTTACCATTTTAAAACACAGACAAGAAAAAAGACAGCAGATTCTAAATGAAATTAAGTCTACACTTCATATTTAACTTTTCTTGATGTCTGTTTATATTAAATTTATAACACTGAACTATAATGTTCACAATTACAAAATTCAATGACTATGTACTCATTATTACAACATAAGAAAGAAGCAAATGAGGGAAAAGATATGGATTATAAGCTATTTTCACTAAACGCTAACTAAAAAGTATAAAATCATACATATGTCACAGTCACAAGTACATAAAAGACATGTGAAGATATGTAAAAGAAAGTATTTTATGTGGAAAGTAATAGGTGACATTCTCCCCCCTCTTATTTCTGCTAAATGGTTTTAAATGGGGGGAGGGAGAGAAACAGAATTTGAGACAGCAATGTAAGATGATGAACATTTTCTTAAGCACATGGTCCCATACCAACCACAAGTACACAAAATAGTAAATATTCATTAAGTCATTTACAAAAGCTTCAGAATCTTATTCCTCAATGACAAAGAGTATGTTGCAGTAACATAAAAATCTCACTACACAAACTATTCAATATAACAGAGTCAATTCCAACTCCCAAATAACATTATCATCTTGTAAAAAGCTTAAGCCAATAAAATACAATATAACTTGAGGCACAAAACACAGATTTTGTATTAACATGTTAAAACATCTTATTCCTATCAGTTTCTGCTCAACCAATTCTTTCAAAATGTAAACTACAATATGTGGAAAAAAACAAAGAACAAGAAATGGCACAATTACTTTCTGAAGCCTAGAAAACTTTCAGAGCAAAAATTAGGGTTCTGATTGGTCCCTAATCACATTACCTGAATGATCCAAACCCTTGCCCTCATCATGTGCCAGTAAGAACACAATGCTAACTAGTCAGAAACTTAAATTATTGAGTCAGTTAAGCTTTCTATCACATATAACACTTCAGCTCTCCATTTAAAAAATTTTTAATACCTAGTATTGGAAAGGGAGATATGAACTACATGTAAGCTCTACTGAAATGAAAACAGATTATTTTTAATTACTGCTCAGAACATTAAAGAGATACCAGGTATACTGTTTTGGCTGCATACCTAAAAAAGAGGACATTCAAATAATAAACATAAGCTTACCTATATGACCAACTTTAATTTTAAATGGTACATCCAGTTGACTCTAAAGAAAATAGTAAAATATTAGTAGATATACAGACAGGTCAACAAGAACGATGACTATTTTTATCTTCCAAAAATTATTTAAAGTGAGTTAATTTACATCTTCTAACTTCAATACTTATTGAAACTTTTAAATGCTTAAGTGTAATACTATCCTCAAATACATAAAATTCAAAGACAATGATATTTTTGAAATAAGTAAAGGAAAAGTTTTACATAAATACTGAACACTTAAGTTACCCATGCCACAGTCATTACCAGTACTTTGATATTGTTTGGAGATATTAAAGGCAGGAACTTTAATTTTCAGGTTGTGCTTGTAGCACAATTAAAACTCCACTTTTGCAAAAAAAAAAAAAAATTCTCTAAGGACAATGTTGTTTATTGCTTAGCTCATATTCATAAACTTAACTCTACAATCCAGCTAGATTTGGATGGGATAAGGAAAAAAAAGAACACAAAGAGCTATAAATAGAGAGCATAATTAGGATATTTTGCGCAGATGAGGATGAAGGGGTGCTCTCATGAGCTACAGAAGGAAGCCTGGTGTGTAATAAAAACATGTCAAATTCATGAAATTTGTTCAAGGTCAGCAATGGTGATCTTCTTGCAAGTGTCTTGCCATTCCTGGACCTAAAGCTCTCCATGGCTTCCACAACAATCATGCTCTCCTTTACTTTGCCCAGAGATCACCACTCAGAATTCTCAGTACAGTTGAAAAACTGAGAATCATTTGTGCTGGGTACATCATTTGCCACTGACAAAATACCAGGAACTGCTTTATGATAAAATTCTCATCAAGTCACGTTTAGCTAGACTCGCCACCAGTACCTTCACTGCCTAGCATATAAATCCTTGAATAATATCATGAAAGCGATCTTTTATAATCACATCCTTTCTCCCTAGTGCGGAGAGCATGAAAGCTTTCTGCTATCATTGGAACTTTGTCTGCAAGCAGCTTGAAGGAGATGTAGCGCAAGGCTTGCCATGGACTAACATGGAAGAACAAAGTGGGATACCCCACAGCTACATGAAACAGGCATTCTGGCAATGGCACTGTCTGCAAAGCCACAAAACATATTAACTAGAAGTAATTCCCCCAATTCAACAGGGGAAAGGACAACCTCTTCAGTAAGTGATGTTTGGAACACTTAGAAAGGAACAAAGCTGGACCCTTATATAATACAACAAATATTAACTCAAAATAGACATTAGTCCTAAAATAGAATTAAAACTAAAAACCCATAAAAGAAAACATAAGGTAAAATCTTTATAAGATTAGATTTGTAAATAATTTTTCCTGGTTATCACACTAAAGGCACAGGAAATGAGAAAATAGATGAAATCAACTTCATCAAAGTGAAAAACTATTGTGCACAAAAGGATACTACTAACTCACAGGCAGAGAATGAATGAGGACATATAATGCAGTCAAAACAAAAAACCAACAACTTAAAACTTTAGCTAAAGTTTTCAACACACTTCTCTAAAGAACATACAAATGGTAGCAAAGTGTATGAAAATCTCCCTAGTCATTAGAGAAATAAGAAAAACCAAATATCCATTAGGGTGGTTATATCCAAAAACAAAATAACAAATGTCAGCAAGGATATGAAGAAATTGGGACATTTAAACATTGCTGAGAATAAAATAAACTAATTCAGTGGCTATGAAAAATGGTGTGGCAGTTTCTGACAAAGTTCAACATAAAATAACCATATAATCCAGACACTCTTAGGTCTTTATCCGAAGGAATTGAAAGCAAGAATGAAAAGGCACATGAATGCCAGTGTTTATAGCAGCATAATTCACAAAAGCCAAAAATCACATGTCCATTAATGAATGAATAAACAAAATGTTATTATATACATACATACAGTAGAAATTTATTCAACCATAAAAAGGAGTAATGTTCTAATATATGCTACATGGATGAACACAGAAGGAATAATGTAAAGTAAAATGAGTCAACACAAAATAACTAACAGCATCATTCCCAGGCAAATGCATAGGGACCGAAAAAATGTATTAGAGGTTAACATAGTCCACAGGGAGAATGACTGAAGAGTTCTTTCTTAATAGTTACAGGGTTCCCAATAGTGTCATAAAAAAGCTTTGGAAACAGATACTGGGTGATGGTTGCACAACAGTATTAATATAATTAATGTCATTGGATCCTATAAATTTTTTTTAAAAAAGTTAAATGGAAAGGGAAAGAAACTGTAAGATGACTGGGATGATAAATTAGCCATTAAACGTATAATAGAGGAAGAAAAATTAAATCTTTTTAAATGGAGAAAAATAACACTAACATTTTGTGCTTTTAAAGAAATTAAAACTCCACTTTGCAGAATTCACATTTTACAAAATTTATTTTCTAAAAGTTTGGCAAATAATTTTAAGTGTTGAAATTAATTAGAAAGGGGTCTATATAAATGAATGTACTAATACCAAAATATTTTTTAACATACCAGGGCATTTTCTTTAATTTCAAGATGCTTGAGGACCACATCACCTAAAAAATGATTTGAAAGACAGTTAAAATAATAATTTTATTTCAGTAATTTAAACATGCTTCATTCCTAAACATGTAAAGATAAAATTCATAAATAATGCATATAGCAGAAAGTTGAATCCATCTACAATCTTATTTACCATCCATTTCTTCAATGTAATGATTGTATGTTTGACCAAAATACTTATTACCAAGTCCTGACCTCTGAAGTTGCAGTTCAATGTTAATGTATATAAACAATGTTATGCCAGAACATGAATCTAACTAGGCACATGATATAAAATCAATATGCAAAACTAAATTGTACTTAAATATACTTGCAGTGAATTGGAAGTAAACTTTTTAAAATCTAGAACAGGTAGCTAAAAGTTGTGTAAATGCAAACATCTAAAACTGCAATGCAACAAAAAATAATAAAAACAGAAGGACTGCAGGACAATAGTAAAAGCAGTAATATATGTGCAAAGGGGCAAAAAATATTTGGAGTAATAAGGCTATTTCTAAAATTAATGATGACACCACCAAACCCACAAATTAAGGAAGCTCAACAAATATCAAGCAGAAAATATTTATACCTAGACATATCATAATCAAGCAGTACAAAAAATGAAAGGAAAAAAAATCTTATGATCACATAATCATCCAAAGGAAATGTAAACATGATATCAAAAAGATACCTTACTCCCCTGTTAATTAACACATTACTCATGACAGCTAAGATACGAAAACAACTTATCAACAGATAAAGATGGTGTAGGAAACATATATTAGGATACTATTAGCTTTAAGAAGGAAAGAAATCGTCCTGCCAATTACAAAAAACATGGACAGTCTCAGAGGCTCATTGTGTTTAATGAGATAAGCCAGGCACAGAAAGACAAATATTAAAGACATATTTGGACTACAAAAAAGCTAAACTCATAGAAACAGAGAATAGTGGTTACTAAGGGTAGATGATGGTGTTAGTAGATGATGTTTAATGTTAAACTACAAACCTACATGTAAGAAATAAGTGAGTTCTGGAGATCTAACACAAACAGAGTATGTAGGTCTACCACACTGTATATATACTTAAAAATTATTAAGAGACTAGATTTTAAATATTCTACCACTACTTCAAAACTACCACAAGACTAAATTTTAAACATTTCAACAAAACCAAATTATGTGACATCAAAGAGAAATTAGCGGAAACTAACATGATAATTATACTGTAGTAAATCATACTGTAGCACATAAATGTCAAATCAACATGTGGCACACTTTAAATTTACACAATGTGATGTATAAATTCAATTTTAAAAACTTGAAAAAAGCAGGGAGGAAAAAACACATGTCAACAGAGGTAAAAGAAATAACCGAATTAAAATGTCTTTCTTTTTTTGACATTTAGTATTTATTTTTAACTTCTACTCTTGACATACTAGAGTATGCTTTGCCTAGAAACAGTTTACAGGACTAGTAACTATAATGAATAAACAACTTTTTAATGAAGTACCATTAAATTATATCCTTGTTAACTTTTTAGATCACATAGGGTTTGGACCTCAAATATGGCCAGCAAAGTTCTCCTAACACAAGAACCCAGTCTTCTACCACAGTCTACTGTGCTTTCCTTAATACTTACCCCAACTGTTACCCCTCTCCTTTCTCCTCTCTTTATGGATACCTCAGATCTATGGCATCTATGGTCAGCTTTCTAACGGTAGGTTTTAAAAATTTGTCGAAGTCGGACCCTTTGTTTCTTTCCTATATTCCACATATATGTGAAACCATCTGGTATTTATCTTTTTCTGTCTGGCTTATTTAATACTTTCCAGCTCCATCCAGATTGCCACAAATGGCAAGAGTTTTTTGGTTTTTTTTTTTGATCTTTCAGTAGTATGTCACTGTGTGTACGTATGTGTGTATATATATATCTATATATATATACACACCAGGAGTTCTTGATCCACTCATGTTTTTAAGAACATTTAAGTTGTTTTTATATCTTGGCTATTATAAATAGTGCTGCAAAAAAAACATAGGAGTGTATGTTTACTTTTAAATTACTGTTTTTGTGTTCTTTTGGATAAATTTAAAATTTTGCTAGAGAAAATCAAAAGCAGACTCAAACAGGCAAAAAAGTCAACAGACTTAAAGCCAGATATAATTTGAAAATACAGAGCAAACAGAAAGAAGAAATATGAACAAAGCCTAAGTAAGGTTGGGAACAAATCAAGAAGATCAATACATGTGTTATAGGAGCTCAAGAGGAGGAGACATAAAAGGGCAGAAAGCTTGTAAGAAGAAATAATGACCAGAAATGTCCTAAATATGAGGAAAAACATAAACATAAAATACAAGAATTTTAAAAAACTACAAGTAGGATGAGCCCAGAAAAATCCAAGCAAGCAATATGATCAAATATTAAGATTATGAAAAGCAATAAGAAAATAAATTACTTCAAATGTACTCAGATTCTCCAATAAATTTATTGAATTTCTCAACAGAAACTTAACCAAAAAAACACTCCCTATACAAGAAATTGAATCATGATGAAATACAAAATCCTAACAGACCTATAATAAGATTATATAGGTATTCAAGAAATTCCCAAAAATTTAAAAGGCTGGTACCAGCTGGAACATTAATTCTGCACAAGTTCTCCTAAGAATTTAATGAGAAAGGTGTACTTCAAAACTCAACCTGTAAGGTCACATTTATCTGTTACCAAAAGCTAGAAAAAGACAACAAAACTATAGATCAGTATCCCTAATGAATACTGATACAAGAGTCCTCAACAAAACACTAGCAAAAAAATTCAACAGCACATTAAAAGAATTATTCGGGCCTTCCCTGCTGGCGCAAGGGTGTTAAAGCGCAGCACTGCAAGAGAGCAGCACGCCAGTCACTTCATTGCCAGTTCATCCCCAGGGCCAGTTGGATCCCCAGCTCCCCTGGTGACCACATGGCACAGCAGACCTTTCCTGACCCACCCACTGCTCCTTTCAGCAAGTGTACTTGTCAATCTGCCTGTTCTGCTCCCTACTCTGTTTCAGGTGAATCCTCTAACTGTTCCTGCACCTCTGGCCTGTACCCCAGTTCTGTATGCATAAATAAATAAATCTTTAAACAAAAATTATATATCACTGCTCAATACAATTTACATCTAGAATGCAAAGCTCTTCCAATATATGAAAATAAATCAGTGTACTACACAATAACAGAATGAAACAAATGCATGATTAACTTAATGGAGAAGTATTTAAAATTTTCAACATCCTTTCATAGTAAAAACACCCTACAAACTAGGATTAGTATAAAATTATCTCCACATAATACACTTAATAAAAATAATATACAAAAATCCTACAGTGAAAATCAGTCAATAGTAAAAGCAAGTATTTTCCTCCAAGATCAGGAAATGATAAAGATGTCCACTTTCAGCACTTTCATCCAACATCATACTGCAAATTCTAGCCAGAGCAATCAAAGAGAGAGAAGAAAAATCATTCATATGAGAAAAGACTAAGTAGAATCATTTTGTTCACAGACAACTTATCTTGTGATGAAAATCCTAACCATTAAAGAATGAATTCAGCAATGTTGCCAGATAAAAAACTAAAACATGAAAATCAATTGTGCTTCTCTACTAATAATTCAAAATGGAAATGAAGAAAAGATTTCCTTTAAAATGTCATTGAAATATTTAAGAGTAAATATAATCTAGGGTGTAAATGATTTGTATGCTGCAACTATAAAGAATTGTTGAAAGGAATTAATAACATATAAAAGTAGAGAACCCAGGTCCACAGACTGAAAGATGTAATATTAAGATGTCAATATTACCCAAAGCAACTAAAATTCATTTCAATCCACATTAAAACACCAACTTTTGGCCCTCCCTGGTGGCGCAGTGGGTTAAAGCACAGCACTGAGAATCTAAAGCCGCTTCCTCATGAGTTCGATTCCCGCCTGCCCCGGAGGTGACCACATGGCGTGGCAGACCTCTCCTGACCCGCCCGCTGCTCCCCTCAGCAGTGTATTTCGTTGATCTGCCTGTTCTGCACCCCACTCTGTCTCTGGTGAATTCTCTCACCCTCCACATCTCTGGCCTGTATCCCAGTTCTGTATGCACAAATAAAATAAAATCTTTAAAAAAAAAAAAAAAAAAAACAAAAAAACAAAACACCAACTTTTGCAGAAATAGAAAATCCATCCTTAATTCATAGAGAATGTCGAGACTTCCCATCTTATAAAAACAATTCTGAAGAAAGCTGAAAGTCACACATTTTCAAATTTCAAAGTTTACTACAGAAGTAGTTGAAACATTGTGGTACTGATATGCAGACACTTAGGGCAACAAAATACAGAGCCCAAAAATAAACCCTAACATCTACACTCAAATGATTTTCAACAAGACTGCCAAGTTCATTCATTGGAATACCACATTCACATGTAAAAAAAGTTGATCCTCCCATCAAACATAAAAATTAAGTCAGGGCCCTCCCTGGTGGCGCAGCGGGTTAAAGCACTGCACTAAGAAGCTTAAGCTACTTCCGCATGAGTTCGATCCCTGCCTGCCCCGGAGGTGACCACATGGCACGGCAGACCTCTCCTGGCCCACCTGCTGCTCCCCTCAGCAGTGTGCTTCGTAGATCTGCCTGTTCTGCTCCCCACTCTGTCTCTGGTGAATCCTCTCACCCTCCGCATCTCTGGCCTGTACCCCAGATCTGTATGAATAAATAAATAAATCTTTAAAAAAAAAATTAAGTCAAATGTAGTCAAGTTTTATTTGTCAAATCTGAAACCATAAAAAGTATTAGAAGAATGCATATGTGAAAATTTAGATAATAATGGATATGGTAATTATTTTGGATAATTAAGTCTTGACCAAAATGTTAAGCTGACACATCAATGGACACTATCAACAGTGAGAAGGCAACACAGGGAATAGGGAAAATATTTGCAAATCACTTATCTGAGAAGGAAGTCATAACCACAATAGATAAAGAACT